ATGATGAAAATATTCATTAAAACAAAATTTTCATATTTTCGAATTTTTCTCAAAATATGTGGGTTAACCTTATAGAAATCGAGTTTTTCGATAAATACTATATTAAGAAGTTTAGGCTCTTTATTGTGATGAAAATTACCCAATCATATTGTAAGATTGTATTAATATATATTAAAATTATTTTCATGTTACATAGACATAATTTCAAATTTTCCAACATGTAATTTATTTAAATTTCATATACCACTTAATTAGTGGACAAACTCCCTATAAAGAAAATTCTATTTTCCGGAGAAACACGTACACCTAAGGTCTCAAACCTCTTTAAACTTCATAATATGTAAGTGAATGATGCAAATATGAAGTAAAACGAAATTTTCATATTTTCTATTTTTTCTCGAAATATGTGGGTTAACCCCTATAGAAAATTGAGTTTTTCGATAAATCCTTTATTAAAAAGTTTAGGCTCTTTATTGTTGATAAAAACTACCCAATCACATTCTAAATATGTATTAATGTATGTTAAAATTAGTTTCATGGTAAATGGATATCATTTCAAATTTTCCAACATATAATTTATTTAAATTTCATATACCACTTATTCAATGGACAAACCCCCTATAAACAAAAATTCTATTTTCTGGAGAAACATGAACACCTAAGGTCTCAAACCTTTTTAACCTTCATACTATGTCAGTGAATGATGAAAATATTCATTAAAACAAAATTTTCATATTTTCGAATTTTTTTCAAAATACGTGGGTTAACCTTATAGAAATCGAGTTTTTCGATAAATGCTATATTAAGAAGTTTAGACTCTTTATTGTGATGAAAATTACCCAATCATATTCTAAAATTGTATTAATATAAATTAAAATTATTTTCATGTTACATAGACATAATTTCATATTTTCCAACATGTAATTTATTTAAATTTCATATACCACTTAATTAGTGGACAAACTCCCTATAAAGAAAATTCTATTTTCCGGAGAAACACGTACACCTAAGGTCTCAAACCTCTTTAACCTTCATAATATGTAAGTGAATGATTCAAATATGCATTAAAACAAAATTTTCATATTTTCTAATTTTGATAAATACTAAATTCAGAAATTTAGGCTCTTTATTGTTGATCAAAGATTACCTAAACAAATTCTAAATTTATACTAGTGTATGTTAAAATTATTTGCATGGTACATGGACATCATTTCATATTTTCCAACATGTAATTTATTCATATTTCATATACCACTTAATCAGTGGACAAATCCCCTAAAAAAATTATATTTTCTGGAGAAACATTAACACCTAAGGTCTCAAACCTCTTTAACCTTCATACTATGTCATTTAATGATGCAAATACGCATTAAAAAAAAATTTCATATTTTCGATTTTTTCTCGAAATATGTAGGTTACCCCCTACAAAAATTTGAGTTTTTCGATAAATGCTATATTAAGAAGTTTAGGCTCTTTATTGTTGATGAAAATTACCCTATCACATTCTAAATTTGTATTAGTTTATGTTAAAATTATTTACATTGTACATGGACATCATTTAAAATTTTCCAACGTAATTTATTTAAATTTCATATACCACTTAATCAGTGAACAAGCTCCCATAAACATATTCTATTTTCTGGAGAAACATGAACACCTAAGGTCTCAAACTCTTTAACCTTCATATTATCTCAGTGAATGATGCAAAATATGCATTAAACAAAATTTTCATATTTACCTATTTTTCTTAAAATATGTGGGTTAACCCCCCTACGAAAAAATCAAGTTTTTTGATAACTATTAAATTCAGAAATTTAGGCTCTTTATTGTTGATAAAAAATTACCTAATCAAATTCTAAATTTATATAGTGTATGTTAAAGTTATTTTTATGGTACATAGACATCATTTCTAGTATTTTAGTGAATAATTTAATAAAACTTCATATTTCACCATATTTACTGGACTCACCCCAATAAAATCTTTATTTTCAAGAGAAACATAGATAACTAAGGGCACAGGCCTCTTTAATCTTCATCATATGTCAGTGCATGATGAAAATATGCATGAAAAAAAAAATATCACATTTTCTAATTTATTTTGAAATATGAGTTTTCCAATAAATGCAATATATACTAAAGTTTAGCCTCTTTCGTGCTATTTAAAAATACATAACCACACTCAAAATTTATATTAATGTATGATAAGCTTATTCACCTAGTACATGGACATCATTTCTAATTTTCCAACATATAATTTATTTAAATTTAATATACCCTTTAATAAGTGAACAAACCCCCAATAAAAATTTATATTTACTGGAGAAACATGAACATGTAAGGTTTCAAACCTCTTTAACCTTCATACTATGTCAGTGAATGATGAAAATATGCATTAAAACAAAAATTGTAATATTTTCTAATTTTTTCTCGAAATATTTGGGTTAACCTCTACAGAAAGTCAAGTTTTTTGATAAATGCTATATTAAGAAGTTTAGGCTCTTTATTTTTGATGAAAATTACCCAATCACATTCTAAATTTGTATTAGTGTATGTTAAAATTATTTTCATGCTACATGGAGATCATTTCAAATTTTCCAACAGGTAAATTATTTAAATTTCATATACCACTTAATCAATGGACAAACCCCTATAAAAAAAATTATTTTCTGGAGAAACATGAACTCCTAAGGTCTCAAACCTCTTTAACCTTCAAACTATGTCAGTGAATGATTCAAGTATTCATTAAAACAAAATTTTCATATTTTTAAAAAATTTCTCGAAATATGTGGGTTAACCCCTATAGAAAATCGAGTTTTCGATAAATGTTTTATTAAAAAGTTTAGGCCTTTATTGTTGATGAAAATTAACCAATCACATTCTAAATTTGTATTAATGTATGTTAAAATTATTTTCATGGTACATGGACATCATTTCAACTTTTCCAACATGTAATTTATTTAAATTTCATATACCACTTATTCAGTGGACAAACCCCCTATAAAATATGCAGTAAAACAAATTTTTCATATTTTCTATTTTTTCTCGAAATATGTGGGTTACCCCCTACAGAAAATTGAGTTTTTTGATAAATGCTATATTATGAAGTTTAGGCTCTTTATTGTTGATGAAAACTACCCAATCACATTCTAAATTTGTATTAATCTATGTTAAAATTATTTTCAGCTATGCATTGAAACAAAAATACTATCTTTTTAATTTACCTTGAAATATGTGAGTCAACCCCTAAGAAAACATTGAATTTTCCAATAAATACTATATATACAATTTAGCCTCTTTAGTGTTGTTTAAAAATATCTAACCACACTCCAAATTTATATATATGTATGCTAAACTTATTTTCATGGTACATGAACATCATTTCTAATTTTGTAATGAGTAATTTACCTATACTTCATATGCCACTTAATAAATGGACTAACCCTATAAAAATTATATTTTCTGGAGAAACAAAAACACTTAAGGTCTCAAACCTCTTTATTATTCATACTATGTCAGTGCATGATGAATCATTCATTAAAACAAAACTACCATATTTTCTAATTTATTTTGAAATATATAGGTTAACTCTTACAAAATGATCAAGTTTTCCGATAAATGTTACATATATGCCTCTTTAGTTTTGTTTAAAAACCTAACCAAATTGAAAATTTACATTAATGTACTAAACTTATGTTCATGGTACATGGATATCAGTTCAAATTTTTAACCGAAAATTTTAATAAAACTCTATATACCACCAAAATCAATGAACTAAACCCTATGAAATCTATATTATCTAAAGAACGTTGGATAACTACGGTGTATCAAAACTATTTATAGATTTTCAAAGTTTTATATGGATAATTACAACTTTTCAAGTTAAAGTTATTTTAATGAATAGTTAACTTTTCAAGTTAAAGTTAATTATTTTAATGAATAGTCATAATTTTCAAATTATTGGTAGTGAATAATCATATTTTTTTCAAGTTAAAGTTAATTATTTTATGAATACCCACAACTTTCAAATTAAAGATAGTGAATAGTCACAACTTTTCATATTAAACTTAATTATTTTTTATGAATAGACATAATTATCAAATTATATGTAATTATTTTAAATGATACATTTAAATTATATATTTGAATAGACCATTTCAAAAAACACATTTATTATGTAAAGATTAACTATTAGGAAATTCTCTCAAATAGTCCTCTTTTAAGTTTTTATCACAAAAATAGACTTCAAAAATTAAAATGACCAAAATAACACTTTTTATTTTGAAAATTTTTAAGTTTTTTTAATTTTTTTAAATTCGAAACATATCCCCAAAACCTCACTCCTCAACTCTAAACAAAAAAGTCTAGGATTAGTTAACTCAATGGGTATAAATGTATATTTAATAAAACATTTAAGTGTTAGTTTGGTCATTTTAATTGTTAAGGTCTATATTTGTGATAAAAAACTTTTTTAGGTCTATTCAAGTCATTTTCTCTTAACTATTTTTAAAAATAGCTAAAATTTAAATAGATGCACTATTTCAAAAAACAGTTTCATTACAGATAGACATCTTAGGCATTTTTAAGGGAAAATTGTTTTATTTAGGCCTAAACAATGGTAATCATGTCCCATTAGGCTAATCTTATATACCTTATGTCCCATTAGACTAATCTCATATATTTTATTTTATTTGTTTTAGCTGAGCTGAAAATTGATAGGACCTGGCCCATACCTCGGCCCACTAACTAAAAACTGGGTTCTGATTTTTCAATTCGATGAAAGAGGAAACCTTTCCTTTCTGAGAAAAAATCAGGAACAAGTTAGCGCGAACTCGAAGAAACCGAATCGAATCAACAAAAGAAGAGATCTTTCGTCATCCTTCTGGAGACTACTCACAGATTCTCACTTGGGTCACCCTCAAAATCTGAAAAGGTCACACCTTTAGTCTCAAAAAAAAAAAAAAAATCTATCTTTTTCCCTCTCTCAGATCTTGTCCGTTACAATGGGAAGACCTCTGCTTTATGACGTCATCGAGAAACCAGCAACGAGCTGCATCATAACCATATGCAGTTTAATCTGGTTCTTGATCCAGAAGAAGAGTATTGGTTACTCACAAGTTGGGTTAAGCTACGAGACAGCGGTTCAAGGACATTACTGGAGAATCATTACATCTGCTTTCTCTCACATAAGTGTTTTGCATCTTGTCTTTAACATGAGTGCTTTATGGAGTCTTGGTGTTGTTGAACAGTTAGGTGGTTTAGGTCTTGGAACTGGTTACTATCTTCATTACAGTCTTGTTTTAGTTTTGGTCTCTGGTGGTTTGGTTATTGGGATGTATCATTTACTGATTGGTGGGTTTAAAGTTGAGTATTTCAGGAGAGTTACAGCTGTGGGTTACTCTTGTGTTGTGTTTGGTTGGATGACGATTTTGTCTGTGAAGCAGCCTTCTTCGAAGCTTGATCTCTTTGGGGTTTTGTCTCTTCCTATTAGCTTTGCGCCGTTTGAGTCGCTGATTTTTACTTCTATTATTGTCCCGCAAGCTAGCTTCTTGGGGCATTTGTCGGGGATTTTGGTGGGGTATGCTGTTTCTTGGGGTTTGATTGGTGGGATGAATGATTACTGGGCTGTTACGATGCTTGGTTGGGTTGTTGTGGTTTTTGTGTTCAGTTTGAAGAAGTCTGGTGCTTATGATTTCAGTTTTCTGGAGATTGAGTCGGTTAGTGATGCTTCTTTGCCTTCGTTGCGGTTTGTTGGAAATGGACGGACATTGCAAGCTAGTGCAGTTTCTTTTAGTGGAGTGGAAGTTGTATGAGTTGGGTCAGTGTTGTATGTGGGAAACAACTTTCTGGAGGTTGTAGATGAAGAGACAGAGAACTGATTCTTGTATAATCAAGTTAGTGTTGTTTAAGCATCATTGCAGATGAATAGGACAGTCTGGTGTTTGATGTATAGTTGCAAAAAAAGGATCCCCTGTCTTACCTTGAGATTACAGCCACTACTAAACCTTCACATTTATTTTAACTATGAAAGCATGCTACCAAACATTCTTGTTGTTTCTTTGATATGTTGTATATGTTAAAATATCATTTACATTCTTGCCACTTCACAAGGTAATTAGATGAAGTTTTATGCAGGTCTCTTTGATTACAGCAGTGTCCACGTTGTAACAATTACAGATTCACATATCTAGTTTTCTTTATGAGAAGTTGTAGGTTGGATAATCTACAGGTCAACTAAAGTTCATGGCAATTGCATTTGTTTATCAGAGTAATCTAACTTGGATCCACTTTTGAATAGTTTTGTTCATTTACCATATAACCTACTTTCAACCCAATTTTCATTCACATGATCTGCATTATTACCTCCAACTTCTCCATAACCACATTTTCTCTATATTTTTTTATATAAGCTGTACACTGATCAGGTGAATCTAATCTTACTTTCTAATCCATATCTAAGAAATTTCAAATGGAGAAGAAAGGCCAGCATGTTACATATGACTCCTTGCTGACTCATCACCCTGTTCTCTGTATCATTGCTTTATGTGTAATTTTCATTGCTATAGACCCCTTTCACATAAGTCCAATAGGGGGTCGTGAGTTCAAACCCGTGAAGCATGTGGTTGCTCCATACAAGAAAGTCATGGAAAACTGGCCAAGAGACAACCTTAGTCGACTTGGTCATCATGGGAAACTAGAGTTTGTGGACCAAGTCTTTGGTCCAGAGTCATTAGAGTTTGATAGTTTAGGTCGTGGTCCATACACAGGGTTAGCTGATGGAAGAGTGGTTAGATGGATGGGTGAAGAAATAGGATGGGAGACATTTTCCGTTGCCACATCAAAATGGTAAACGCTTATGATAATATACTCATCAGTTTATAGGTTTTAATGTTTTGATTTCATGAGAATCAGGTCTGAGGAGGCTTGCGCAAGAGGTGTGGATTCAACAACAGACAAGCAATGGAAGCATGAGAAGCTCTGTGGGCGACCTCTTGGTCTGAGATTTGATAAAGAGACTGGAAATTTATACATTGCAGACGCTTACTATGGTCTACTAATGGTTGGTCCTGAAGGAGGAGTCGCTACGCCTTTAGCTACACATGTGGAAGGAAAGCCTATACTCTTTGCTAACGATCTTGACATCCATAGAAATGGCTCAATCTTCTTCACTGACACAAGCAAAAGATATGACAGAGCGTAAGTTTTCATTACAAACAAAAAAAAACTCTGTTTCTTGAGTTTTGGGTTTGATATAAAGAGTTTGTATTTTGTAGGAATCATTTTTTCATATTACTGGAAGGAGAATCAACTGGGAGGCTTTTAAGATATGACCCACCTACCAAAATCACACATGTTGTGTTGGATGGTTTAGCTTTTCCCAATGGCATTCAACTCTCTAAAGACCAATCTTTCCTACTCTTCACTGAAACAACCATCTGCAGGTATAACCATCTAAAGAAACCCTTAAACTCAAGCAAGATAGATGCCAATGATCATGGATATAGACTCAATGTTTCTTTTATGTATCTAACAGGTTAGTGAAATACTGGCTAGAGGGTTCAAAGAGAGGTGAAGTTGAGGTGGTGGCAGATCTACCAGGATTCCCAGACAATGTGAGAATGAATGAGAAAGGTGAGTTTTGGGTTGCAATAGACTGTTGTAGAACACCTGTTCAAGAGGTTCTTGCAAACAACCCTTGGATAAAGAGCATCTACTTTCGGTTGCCTATACCGATGAAGCTGCTAGCGACAGCCATGGGGATGAGAATGTACACTGTGATATCAAGATTCAATGATGATGGTAAGGTCTTGGAGGTTCTTGAGGATAGACAAGGAAAGGTAATGAAGCTAGTGAGTGAAGTGAGGGAGGTTCAAGGGAAGCTTTGGATTGGCACAGTGGCTCATAACCATATTGCTACTTTGCCTTATCCTTTAGCAGTGAATTAGTGAACAACAACTTTGATGTGTAGTTCTTAGCTTCTGTAAGTGTTATTATCCTCTTCATTAACATCCATAAGGATAAAGATGAATATATATAAACAAATGATGTTTAGACAAAATCATGTCCCTGTAACTAAACTATCTCTGTTTTGATTCGAGTCCATTGGTTGATGGTTTTGTTGATGTTATCTGAAAATGATGCATAGATTGCTCTTTAAGTTCTTTGTTTTGTTATTGAAGAGTATCATTAGAGTTCGATGTCTATATAACAAATAATAATCTAAATCACATAATTTGTACGGCCTAGTTCATGAGACACAAGTAGAAGTCTCTTGTGTGGTTGTCTGGTTCTGGACCAAAGAATCTCATTGCGACATCATCACTCGGCAACACGTTCTCTAACAGCCAATAAGTAACATAACAGTAGCTAAACTCAGTACGTTGTGCATCTACAAAAGAGTAGAATGACGGATTTAGACTCTCGATCAGATGCCAAAAGAGCAAGGAGAGTGAATATTACCAATAGAGATTATAAAGGGCATGTGGAAAACTCTGTCTCAAGGCCTTTGTCCAGTTGAAGCATTTGATGGCAGTTGCTGCCGTTGCTGAATCTGTTGAAGAAGGTTAGCTGCAAGCTGTAGAGTAGACTGATATTGCTGGCTCTTATCGATCTCACCATGTGATGTACCTTGACCAGCTCCGGTGAGCAAAGTCTGTGGCTGCTGTTGTGTTGGTGGTGGTGGCATCGCAATTTGAGAATGGGAAGGATTTTCGTTATAAGCTTGATTATTGCTCAGACCGTGATAATTACCCTGATAGCCAAGCAAACCAGGGTTCTCAGCTCCAGGGATTGGTATGTAGTTTTGGTTAAGCATGGGAGCTTCATGGTGATATTGAGCTTGATGTGAACCTTGAGAGTACATAGAGTAATTATCCGACGGTGGTGGAGGTAACGGCGCCTGCTGAGGCATACTAACATATGGTGTTTGGTATTGCATACCGCCGGAGTAGCTCGGTGTGCTTGACACTGGTGGATAATGCACCGGAGGAGGAGGAGGGAGTTGCCCCACCGGATTATACTCATTGCCTAATTGTTGAAACGATAGATTTGATGATGGAGACAGTCCAACGGATTGGTGACTTTCTGGTTGAGAATTTGTTGGGAGCAAGGAGGCAAGAGTGGCTATTAGCTCAGGCGTTAGACTAACACCTGCTTGAGGCGTTGCAGTGTTATGTACAGCAACAGGCTCGCTAAAAGAAGGAGGCTTCATTGCTTCCTGCATACCTCTGTTGTAATCCAACAAGGCTTGATCTCGAGATTGGTCCATATAGGGTGGAGGAACGGTCTGAGATTCTTGTCTATACAATGATGCTGCAGGAACCTGTGGTGGAGGCAATTTGAGGACAACACCATATAGCCTTTCTCGACCAGATACTTTGAGCACATCAGTTAAGAAATCTGATGGTGGAACCAAGAATAATGTGGTTCCATCATCTAATTTAGCAACACCTGCTCTGTTCTTTGAACCAAGATAGAGGAGGAATTCAGTATAAGACGCGAAGTCTTCTTCACTGTCTGGTAAGAAGAAAACGATTTCAAATCCAATTGCTTCGGTATAATGTTTGGCAAGCATATCCAAACCCGTTCTTGCTGAACAATTGATCATCTCAGGGCTATTAACCATTCCAAAAACCGAGAATCAGTAAATCCATTTTGGTACTTGTTATCAATGAATCGAATCATTTTCAGATCACAACATCTAAAAGAATCAACAGATACCTTCTAATCAATGAACTAAAACTTATCCTATATAAGTGAGGGTAGAAAAGGCTAAAGTGCGTGAAAATGTTACTCACAGTTCGGATTCAATCCCCTTTCCAATAGGTACACAACGAGCATGACAAACAGGAGTTCCACCTTTGGCAATGACTCCTCTCCAAATGAAATCAGTATCAGGAAAACCACGGCCTGGTCTAGATGCAACTGGTCCACGCCTATATGACCTATTCAACCCAGTGATACGATCATCTACACCCAACGAAGGAAAAGAATCTAATGATCCATCTCTACGAGTTCTTTTATGTTCTCTATCCAACTGAGTAGGATCATATCCTTCCCAAGAACCACGGTTTGACCTAACGGGTAGTAGCCTTGTACTTGGTGCGGGAGACGGGAGTATTCCAGCTCCTGTAGGAGATAGCCTTCTCCAGCTTCCTTCATTACCATATTCTGAACCAATATGTGAACGTTCCATGCTACCTCGGAAGGGCCTAACAGGGTCAAGAACCACACTGGAATGTGGTGACGATACGTATGGTGGATCGTTGATGAACATTTCAGGCCTTGATCGTTTGACACCAGAATAAAAACTTGTATCATCTCCTCGTCCAGGGGGAATGTTGTCGTTTTGGTACATGATTGTGATTCTTGGATCGTTGAATAACCTTCCCTGTAGTCCTTCCTTAGCACAGCGAGCTTCTTCAATGCTTCTAAATTCCACAAGTGAGAAATGCCTTGATGGATAGCTAACACATCTCTCAATCTCACCAAAAAGTATCATGGAATTGTGTAGCAGTCGTTCGTCTATCTGAACAGAAGGAGGGTACCCAATCCACAGAACGTTACTTGCTTGGCCATCTCCAAATGAGTGAGGATCCTGTTAAGCATATATCACTCTCAGGAACATGGCAAAGCCCCAATTTTCTAAACTATAAGCATGAAAGCCGATAAAGGAACCAGTAAAAACAGACTTTCTATCATTAAGGCTGCTAACCTGGTGCTTAGCACTCAAATTGCCATCCCTGACATCTTCGGAGCCAAGTCGTGGTTCCTACAGAGATAAGAATACACGTATTTTCAGAGTCATCTAGCAGATTCTACAACAGATATGAAAAGAAATGCAGAAGAAATAGAAAAGGGAATCACGTGACACAGTTATATATAGATAGCTTCTAGCCATGGAGGTCTTACACAAATCATGAAAACCTAAGTAGAAACTTCTTACAAGTTACAAGATGAAAACCGAAACTTACTCTAGTGTAGAAAAAAAAGACAAGGCGATGCTTACTTTTCTTGGCCCTTGTGACCGAAGAAAATCAACTCGCAAAAAGCTACCACCTAGTCGCTTCCCGTTCATGGTCTTTGCCTGTATAGCATCTTCCACATCAAAGAAGTCAATAAAAGCCGTCTTGCGATCCTTAAGAAACCTGAAACTTTCGATTTCCCCAAATTTCCTAAACTCTGCCTCGAGTACATCCTTCGGTACACTAGAGCTGATTCCACCCACCCAAAGACTTTTACAAGGTTTTGCCTGCACGCAAATAATTCCCATAAGAAGCCAATACCAACATCTTGAAGAGAACTTTTTAACACATAAAGCACTACAGTCCAACGACTGTCATAAATTCACATTAATTACTACCATAAACACACAACATGACTCGAGGGGAATCATTTCCATAAATAGGAAAGAACTACATCCTCTTCAAAATCAACATTCCCTTAACAAAATCCTCGCATTGATAATTCCAAATTTGGCACATTACTAAATAAACCAACCCTTCGATACCCAAACGAGTAAAAACCAGAGATGCAGATAAGCCTTTCGTGGTCTATTATTAATAACAAAACCTTCCACCATGCTGATACCGTTATTGTTACATCTGATGACTAAAGAATCTACAAAAATTGTATTACTGCAGTTTTTTTTTTTTGATAAACCTATAGGCTGATCCGATCAGATCCGGGAGAGACGCACATAGTGCTACAGAGTGGAGGTTAAATGAATCCTCAAATCACACATGGCCTTATTGCTCTTGGTTTCAAACTTTCGGTCTAGTCCACTCTATAGCACTAACTGCGTTCCTCCTGGGGTCGACCGGATCAGTGGATAGGATTTATCAAAAAGGAAATGAATCCTCAAATCACACATTTGGAAGTCTAATCCGAGATCTAGAGTAACAAAACTTAAGATAGCAATGATTACGTCTAGCTGGAAAATGATCCTAACCCTTAACATATAGCAAATACATATAGCAAATACCAATCCTAAACATTAGTGATTCTACAGCACATCGAAAAACGGACTAAAAGCAATAGCATAACTGAAATTACCGATCTAACCCTTAACTAACTGAGATAATGATTAACGAACCGGTCGAGCGAATTCGATTTTAATCTGACTCCCATTTAAATCAGCCCCTTGGAGAGCCTCCTTCGCGGCCACGGCTTCTTCAACGCGACGGTAGTAGATAAACGCGAAGCAACGGGAGGAATAAGCCGTGAGCCTGTCGATTTCGCCGAACCTTCCGAACAGATCGGCGAGATCGGATTCGGTGGTGTCGGGGGTTAAGCTACCGACCCAGAGATTGGTGGATTGGTATCCACCAGATCCGTCTGGTTCACGCCCCCTCGAAGGCTTCATAACTGGAGCCATGCCCGAGAAGAAGAATAATTTTCGCACGAAGATCCAGTGAAGAAGAAAAAAAGCATGAAATTAATAAAACGACGACGTTTCAAGCGTATTTGACATTTTAAGAATTTTTATAAAGTTACGTTTAAACTAAGCTTCAATCAGATGGCATCAGCTTTTTATTATACATAATCCATTTATTTTCCACTTAAAATGCTAATATTTTTTTTGTGGTTAGTAATTCATTTGAAATAAATTGTAACCATTTATAAAATTGTCGTACAAACGCAAAATACAAACCAAGTCTTGAAAAGAAGAGAGTAGTCTTGATTCAACAACTAAAATCTCCAAATAAAAAGGTATCTTGAAACTTCAGTGACATTTGCCTCACAAGAGTTGTTCAAAGATCTTGAACACTCAAACCTGAAATGAAGAAGACTCAATAAATAAATAAATAAACTCCCAACAGCTTCCAAAATTTAAAACTATACAAAGTGTATACAACCACCCAACACAACTACATATAAGTTTATCAAAGTCTAATACAGTTAATTTCCAGTGATAAAAATACTTCTAACATGGTTAAGCACTAGTATAGTGATGAAATTACTTGTAAAACAAAAACTACTAGTATAGGGTGTACATTGTTAGACATTTAATGTTATCAAACAATCAACAAAGTCTAACACCCCTATGTATGGATCAAGATATTAAAATCTAACAGTTAAGTGATGAAATTAATTAGTAAGAGACACATGCCAATTCTACCAATGTTATGATATATATATGAGGGGATTATAGTTAGTTTATTAACCTGGAGGAAGTGACTGCTTAAGCTTATCAGCCTTCTCTTGGTCAAAGACACATAGTGTGTAGAGGTACTTCGAGCACCTAACCTTGAACTTGACAATATCCTTGCTTCTCTTAATCTTCACAGACCTCGCATCCTTCCTCCTCGCCGTCAAAAGAAAGTCCTTGATCTCGTGGATTTGCTTAGGCTACAAAAACATCCAAAAAAACAACATTTTCATTCAAACAGGAAACACAACAACAATAAGAGATTATTATATCATTCATCTAAATACTACAAAACAACCTAGAAACAGACATGATATAAATGATAATACAACAATCTACTAGATGTTGTCGGAAAAAAAAGTACCATTCTCGCTTCTGATGTCGTCTCTGGCCTGCTAGAAGAAAAAAATACAACGAAAGCTCTAAATATTCTCTTTAAAAAGCAAAACCCTAGATGTGCTATTTCCAATTGTATCCCTTAAAGCCCATTAGTCCAATAAAATCGCTATTGGGCCCGAATATCCCAAGAGAGATTTTATTTCTTTCCCTTTATTATTACTCTGTATTATTTCCTATATTATTTTTCAGCAACGCGCCAATAAATATATTTTTTTCCCGCGCCACTGAAAATTTACAACTTTCTTCTCCAAAAAAAAATCAAATAAAAACCCTAACCTCTTCTTCTTCCTTCCCTTTAACATCGAAACTAATAACTCTTGTCTCTAAGGAAGAATCTTCTTTCTTTTTTTTTACAAATAAAACATGTTTTATTCGCATGTTATCTTGGCTCGGAAAGGACCATTGGGTACTGTTTGGTCCGCCGCTCACTTACAACACCGCCTCAAGAAGTCTCATTACACCAACACCAACATCCCCGAAACAGTTGGTTCGTGTTTCTAACCATAAAGTTCCCTCCTTTTATCATCCCCTTCACTACTTCTCTGTTAAAGTTCGAACCTTTCGATTAATCCAGAGGATTGTTGATTTAATTTGTTTACTTTTTTTTCTTTCTGATCATAAAGTTCGAACCTTTGGATTAATCCAGAGGATTGTTGATTTAATTTGGTTACTTTTTTTTTTCTTTCTGACCATAAAGTTCAAACCTTTGGATTATTCCAGAGGATTGTTGATTTATTTGTATTTGTTTTTTTTTTTGTTGCAGATCTTATAATGTTCCCTGAGGCACCTTTGGCGTTGAGATTGTCGGGTCATCTTCTACTTGGTGTTGTCCGAATCTATTCAAAGCAAGTTGATTACGTGTTCCGTGAATGTGCTCTTGTTACTACATGGTTAAAGTCTTTTGTTTCTACTCAAGTGGACTTGCCTGAGGATGCTAGACAGGCTCCTGTTGAGTCTGTGACTTTGCCTCAAGCACTTAACTTGGATGACTTCCAATTAGATGATGACACGCATGAAGGGTAATCCCTAAAATCTGTAACAAAGATCTTATATCTTTGGATTTGAATATTAACATTTTTTTGTTATGTTATTGTGTTAATTAGGGAGTTTGATAATCATCTTAGGAGACAGGAAGATATTACTCTCACAGGTACTTTTGTTTTTATTGTTTGTCTGCTTTGGGTTTAAGAGTTTTTTATGATGTTGATGCTGATTTATGCAGATCAAATCCCTACTGGTGTTGATCCTTATGTTGCTATAACATTTGATGAGGTGAGATTCTTTTTTGTGTTCTTATGTTACTGAAGGATTTTGATTACTGGTTTGTTGTTGAAAGAGAGTTTGGTATGTCTTTCTTTACAGGACATGGGACCAGAAACTAGTCCAATGGATGTAGAGTGAGTCTCTTTGATTTTATCTACTACATCTATGTTTAAGGATATGCTTTTTTTTTATAATGTGGTTGCCTCTTCTTTGTGATTTTAAGCAGCCAATCTACAGAGCCTGTGAGTGTCCATCCTGGTGGTACTGATGTTGAAATGGCTTTTGAGACAGAACCAAACAATGAGCAAGGAGACTTCAATGTTGGTCGTAACGAGACAGAGGAAATCCCTGACTTCCAGGTTCCTAGACCAATTAACTTGACGGAACCGCTTATTCACAGTCCAGAGAGAGGCAATGCCAATTCTCCTGGAAGTGTTCCCGAGGTTGAGATAAGGCGTGATGCTGCGAGCGGTTTTAGCCCTGCGTCCCATTTACCATTTGCTACAGAACACACTGAACCTTTAGATGAAACTATGAAGGAGAAGGAACCCAATATCCCTAATCTTGATGATGAAGTGTTGAGTTCTAGAGGACAGGCGTTTGAGCTTCGCTCAGGGTCTCCTGGTTTTGCTGGTTTTGAGGAAGAACGTGAGAATTTTGGTGAGTTTGATAACTTTTTTAATAAAGAATTATATATATTATTTTATATTTATCTGATATGTGATTTTGTTTTGATGTTTAAGTGCATCCATCACCTCAACTAGTTCTTCAACCAACACCACCTCCAGCACCACAACCAAGGCCAAGGAAGAGGAAAAACTTTGATAAGGTCACTGTATTAACTAACAGGTAACTAATAAACCTTTCTACTGCTTCCTGTGACTTTTTGATTATTTCATTACCTGTTTGCATACTGATAAAAATGGTTTTGGATAGGATCATGAGAGAGAGGCTTGAGGATCCTAGTGATACTCTTCGTAAAAGAAAGAAGATGCCTTCTTCTAACTTAAATGTCTGGAGAATGAATAACCAGTCAAAGAAGGATCAAATTTTCAGTGAGCCCTTGCTTACAGGTAATTTTTTCAGTGATTCTTTCTTTTGTCTTCTAACGGTGTCAACTCATAAGGACTGTATATTGACTATCTGCAGGCTTTCCTGATGCTCTACGCGGTCTTTTTGATAAGGACTGTGTAGCTTCAAAACCATATCTTGCTGTTTCCAATGAAAGTATTCCAGAACCTGCACCTGTATCATCTCCTACTCGAGAAGCTGAAGCAGAAGTTCACCCTACGTCTTCAGTTCCTCAATCTGCGGTTCCTGATTCTACTCATCCAGACAGTACAGTTCAGCTGTCTCCGGTTCGGCAAACTGAAGATGTCCAAGGCTCTGCAGATCCTCAATCTGCTCATGCAGAGTCTGTAGCAAGAGAAGCACAATCTCCACGGCCATTTAATAATGATGACACAGGAATAGAACGTTTTAGAGATGGTGGTTACACTGACTTCATGCCGTCGCCACCACCTTCAAGGTTTTCACCTTCTAGAACCGATGACTTCACCACTCAGACCAGTAGAGCTTGGGAGACAGAATCTTATAGAACAGAGCCTTCAACTTCCGCAAATCGAGATGATATGCCTGGACTAATTAACTCAGGGATCTCAGCTATTCCTGAAATGGCAGACGAGGTTTGTCTCACGTTTTTTACATGTTTTGTGTTTACCATTCTTGGTACTTTGCTAATACCGTTTGCCTGTGTCATACAGGAACTTTATTTCCTGGATTTAAGTGGCAATACGCCGGTGAGATCACCAGCTAGTCAAGATTCTGATGCTTTGACAGGGAGAACAAGGTATAAAGATTCCAGAGTTCATGCAGCTTTACGAGCTTGACTGTTTCTGTACTAACATGTAACACATTCATTACACATTGCAGAGCCTTGGCTCAGTATCTTAAAGAACGCTCTTCGAGTGGTCCCTCTTCAAGCACTTCTTCAGGAGATCTAAGTTTGTTCAAGATCTTGGAGGGAAAGACAAGGAAGCTAGCTGCTCGAATGTTCTTTGAGACAATGGTACTTGATTCTCAATACGGTTGCGTACTTTTGTTTTATGTCAACATTGCCTCTTAGCCGAGATGATTTACTTTGGATTACAGGTGTTGAAGACTAGAGGACTTATTGATATGCAGCAAGAGCAACCTTACAGTGATATCACTCTGAAGTTGATGCCTGGCCTTTTTTCCAAGGTTCAACAATGAATATACAATGCTCCTGGATTTTATTTGTGTACATTAGCTATTATAAACAAGGAAGTGGTCATCCTCAGTTTGTTGATCCCAAGTTTGTATGTTTTGAAGAAATAAAGCTTTTTTTACATAAAAATAGATAACGAGTTTCATCAAAGAGTTGTCAAAAACTTAGTACGCATACATAAACTCATGAATCTTTAACTCTGCAAAATCCAAAGATGACCTACCTGCTATAAGCTTGTTCTTCGTTTATATATATATATCTCTTTGTATGACTATTGCATCTATAAAGAAAACTAACAGTTATTGGTGGAATATCTATCTTTAGTCATCATTCTTTAATGAGCAGGACCATGGCATGAACTTCTTTGGCTAAGGTTCTCATCATGACTTTGAATCTCTTCCGGGATCTGGTTCTGCAATGTGGTTTGATTCTGTATCTGGGACTGAGTGGTTCTTGATCTTGATTACCTGATTCTAATATATGAGGAAACAGCAAGATTGCCAGAATGCAACAAAGTTAGACTTGTCACTTGTGTGTTTTGTGTCAGTTTCAATAAAAAGGGAGAAGTTTATGAAAGTATGCTCTACTAACCTTGTACATGTATTTTTTACGTAGTTTCATGGCTGTGCGTATGCATCTTCTCACTCGAATTGCAAGCAGTTTGTCATTAAAAATCTGCAAATATCTCAAATCAGTACAAAGGCTCAAATGCAGGCACTGCATAGGGGAACAAAGCTCAAATATGCACAAATGCAGTCACAAAACATCATACCTTGATCATGTCATCTATTGACCGAGCTTCCTTCATGATCTTATGCCGATTCATGATTAGGATCGCTGCCACACAAAAGACTGGAAGAGGATCATCTCCTTTCTCAAAAGATGAAACTACAGAAGAGACGTGTGTTCTTTCGTTTCTAGACCATAAGCTTCTTGTCAGCCCACAGAAGTTATATGAAGATGATGCTGACTTCATCTCAGTATCGTTATCATCAGAGAGTGGACCAGTCTTTGGCAATGGACCACTTTTTGGCAGTAGACTGCTTATGTACAACAGACTGCTCTTTGACAATGGTCCGCTCTTTGAAATTCTGTCGCTGCACTTCAAAGGTGGTTCACTAGCTGTACTGTTCCTGTTTCCATCATCTATCTTAGGGTCTCCCATCTCAGTTTCTGATTGTCTCGGAAGCTGAATCACCAACGGCTCCAAGCAGTCATTCTCCAAAGTTCCAGCAACAGAGGCATTAAAATCAGCAGCCCACATCATCTACAATAGAAGAATACATTTGCAAGAGTTTTCTCTTGAAACCATGGACTATACACTAAAGAAGCAGAGAGTGAGCAAGAAACAAGTAAAAGAGAGCAAACAACATAAGAGTTACCAACCTCCCACATCCTTAGAGCCTCATCAAAAGACAACTCCCTTCGGAACAACACTAACAGCATCCGGAACGCAAAGTGAAGGCTTTCAGCACCAATACGAGATATGTGAGAAAACATTTCTTTATCTGTGAGTTGCAATATATGCCACAGTGTCTGCAACTGATCCATCACTCCCGTTGGCCCCTCCATCTGGAAATTTGCACGCTGCAGTAATAATTAACCACATGCATAAGTAAAGAACATCAAGTTACAGCTAGGAAACATAAAGTTAACATATCAGCAAGCATTGTAGTACCGTTCTTCTTATGAGCATTTCAAAGCACCAAAAAGCATCTGCATTATCTTCAAAGAGAACCACAAAAGGAGACACTAGATCGCTCATACCTGTCATCAGATTTGCCACCAGACAGTTAGTGTCAACTAATAACAAGTAGCAAACCCAACACAAGAGATATGTGGAACCTTGGCAATAACCAGTTGCAGGATCAACCCAAGCATAGACAGCAAGGATATCAGACATTCTTCCTAGATTTCTTGGATCCTCGTAGAACTCAAGGTGAGTATCTGTCCTTACCACATCAACAACTGTTTGCAAAAAAAAAATATAATCATTGATCTCTCAGAGTATTGACCATTAACATGCGATTCTCACACAACTAGTACCTATTCGGTGCAATGTCCAAAGCCATTCAGACATCCTATCTTCCGTGACAGTTCCACCACGAGAAGGAGTCTCCTTAGCTGATGACACTTCAGGGACATCTGATATTCTCAAAACATCAACTATCTCAACCGTGGAGCCAGAATGAGACAGTTGTTCAGCAGAGTCAGGATGTACCACTTCAATCTCTGAGTGAGTAGATGATGCAGATCTGTTGTTGTTATAAGAAGACTCTATAACTAGATCTGCGTTCTTATCAATTCTAAAACTGTGCATTCCCTCATCCTCAGATCTTAACTCACTTCGAACTGAAGCTTCCTCATCTGGAGTAGAGAGCTCTTTCTTATCTAAACTACTACTCGCAAACAAATCTGTGACTGCTAGAGTGGGAAAGTCAAAAACACCATCCACAACATGAGTGCTTTCAGGACTTTCCCTTCCACTTACTATGTCAACAGACTCACTAGAACTTCCCCTTCTGTGTCCCTGAGACGTGTCAGTATCGTTATTACTCCAATCACCGTGATCTTCAGTTTTCTCATTACCAGAAGCTTCTGTGCTTCCATCTGTAGATTCCTTTACAACCTCTTTCTTGTATGATTTTCGCATGTCCATAACTTTAGAGCCTACAACATAGGCAAGTGAACCAGTTCCCACACTTGAATGCATCATCTGGCATTGTTTCAGCAGATCATTGTACCGTTCTCTGCATGAATGGTAAAAAGAGAGCATTAAACTTAGAACTCTCTCTGATACAACATAAAAAGCAAACACAACTGTCCAACCTTCGAGCTTCCCTGAGCTGACTACGGTGCTCAGAGGTGCTGCTCAATGCGTAACAGCCAAGAAGAAATTCCCAAACTTCAGCTCTTATTGATGGGTCGATCCCCTAATAACAAGAAAAGGGGATGCATTGGAACATCTAACTGAAAGAACTAAGTGTGAATGTTGCAAAACTAATCTGAAAAAGGAAACATACCCCTAAGATAATTAATTTGAGTGCCTTCTGGAAACCAGAAACCTTTCCATCACAATCAAAAAAAGCCCTCCACTTCTCTGGCTTAAGCATTTTGCCGATCTGTAGATTTGACACACTAAACACTCTGAATCATCTTATCTCTGGAGAAAACAAAACTACAACATAGTACATTATACTTTCAGCATGTGTGAGCAAGCAGAACACAGTGAGTAGACATGGAAAGAAAACACAGTAAACAAAACTAAACACTTTGATGGAGAAAGCAAGGAAAAATACAATGGATTATGAAACATTCCTCAATTTTCAAGAACCTAGAGAATGTTTCTTATAAAGCAATGGGGGTACTTACAGATAAAAGAAGCTGTATCCCTGGTTGTGAAAGACAAGGCTCGCTTAGATCCCGGACTAAAGAAGCCACTTTTTGCAAATTTACAACACCACTTTTCCCACAAGTCCATTTCTTTCCTTCTCCACCACAAAGCATCAGTAATCAAAACACACACACAAACACCAACCCTCCTCCCTCCCCACTTCTTCTTTCACAAACGGAATCATCCGTTACAACTCACTCAAAACAACCCCAAAAAAAGCAAAAAGAAAAACCTGCAACAAAACAGAGGTATCAACATATAAATACATCCAATAAATGAAAGAATCACATTGTTTTTTTATCTGTCATTGACAAGCAAAAAAAAAAGAGAGATATAAGCAGTAACCAATGTTGTCAATCAAACACGAATCTAGAAGGAGACACAACGAAATCAGAACCTACCACCTCTCCCTAATCACAAATATTATAGCTTTCGACTCATACCAATCCACAAAAACGAATCAGAGGAGAGAGGTAACGAGATATCATTCGATGTAGACACAAAAAGTAAATTGGAATCTCACAACATAAACAGGTGAAAGAGCTTAGATGTTACCCAACAAAAAAAAAAAAAAAAAAAGATACATTCGTCGAAATATGGAATAAATGTAGCGCCTTTCAATGTGCAGTATCATCCTAAGATTAAGGCAATGCAGAGCGCTAAAGCTGAAAGAGAGAGAGAACCTATCAAATGTTCATGGATGATGATGCTCTTCTCCGATCGACATTATTCGTTTTCTCCGTTTATTTGTGTTTTCTCTCCTCTCTCTCTCTCTCTCTCTCTCTCTCTCTCTCTCTTTTGTCTTTTTGGTTTGTTATGAAAGAAAGGAGTTTATGTTCTTGTCTCTTCTCCTCTCTCTTGTCTCTCCTGTCTTTTGTTTTGTCGTCTCTTTTCTCGCAAAACTTTCTCCTTTTTCTCTTTTTATTTATGTTGACATTCAATTTAGTCAAATGTAATTACTACACTCATGATGATCCATGAAAACAAATACTATTTCATTAAAATATAATTTGCACTTAAGTGTGAGAGTGATACATGAATCTCAACAAAAATAAAATATATGCCCCTACTCTTATTATTACTCAAAAATTTTAACATTAATGGTGGTCCGGTCCGGTGGATATATACCTTGCATGTTACTTTTAGATCTGAGCAAGTGTTTCCTTCTCTCTTTAAATAATTCTTTTTTTCAGGAGATATGTTTTTTGTTTTTGTTCTTTAGTTGAGCATCTTTTTGATACACATAACGGGCCTAAAGGTTTTATATTTGGGCTTAAATGGATATGTTTGGGGTTTTGTCATAGAAAACTCAACTCAAACCTTCTGGATACACTCATAATGTTGTGCTCCGGTCCCTAGCTAGAAGACCCCATTAGTTAGTGGCTTATGGCTATCCATGAAACCTATATCATGTTGGAGCACTAAGTGTGATATGTGAAGAAGATGCATTGAAACTTAAGTCTTATGATGGTGATAAGAAAAAAAAATTGATGGTGGTGTGGTCAAGTTGGAGGAAGGTGTTGAAACAAACCAAGCAGGACTTGAAGGTAATTAGAAGGATATAAGACCTTTGTGTCTGTTGGTTGTTGAGCTATCTAGCACTTCTTTTGATGGGGAAAATACAAGAACCGAGAGTAGTAATGCTATTGCTGAACCAAACCCATCAATTATCCAAACCAGTGGTGATAGTCCAGTGGCGCTTGAGGGATAAACTCAATACGACGAACCCTGGTTCAAAACCCATGTGGGATATAAATTATTACTTTCGACCCATTTGAATGTCCAGAAGAGGGTCTATTTATGGATCGTACCTTCATCCGAAGATTAGGTTTGTGTTTTTAATAGATCCGGGTTTAATATTTATCAGTTTCAAAAAAAAAAATTTATCCAGCAGCATGTCAGATTCATCAAATGATTCAAGAGCATTTTGTAATTGGAAGTTCATCTACAACCATTGAACAAGACTGAAACCAAATGTATAGAACTCATAACAGTAACCGTGAGAATGGATCAGTATTGACTGTTAAAGCCACTTATAGTTATAGAGACGTCACTATACTTCAAGCTTGATCCATGTGCTGTTGTTGGGTTTTCTCAGCTTTACAAAGAATTTGCTAAGCGTTTCAAGCTGCAAGAGGGTGCATTTCAATTGAAATACTTGGATGATGAAGAAGAATGTGTGATGTTTGTCACAGATTCTGATCTCCATGAATGCTTAAAGATATTAAACGGCATGAGAAAACATACGGTGAAGTTTTTGGTCCGTGATTTACTGTCACCGCAACGAGAAGTTTGGGAGGCAGCATTAGCAACGGGAAGCTCGGAACAGGTTTATAGCATATGTATTATGACCACTATCATATATATAAACCACATAATATATGTGTGTTTTAAAATAAATAAAAATTAGTTTGTTTGGTCTTGCATGATTTACTCATATAGAAAGACAAATTAAAGATTTGTGTAGTATAGTTGAAGATGCATGACCATAAAAAGATACAAATATATTTTTTTGGTATATATATCATCTATATTATGGTATGGTGTGTTATTTTTCTTTGGCCATCTCAAACCCACTTCAGTATTTTTTCAAAAAAAAAACCTAAAGATACAGAAGTGTTTTGTTTCAATTAATGAATATATATTAGATAGAAAAAAAAAAGCAAAATAATATATTTTAAATCAACTTAACAGTCCACATTCTCATCGACTAATAAGCCAAACCTACGATTCTATAACCGATTATTCCAAAGCACACAACAAAACATGAAATCACACACAAACATAGAGAAATTCAAACACAAAAATCAGCGTAAGTTCAACTGATCGAATTTGCAGTTTAAGGGGCGTAACATAAACAAACTTTTGTTATGTCCTGAGAACATATGCCGCCGCGAAATCCGCGAAGCTTGCAAGCATTGTCGCAAATAAACTGTCCATTCTCTAGTCTGCAGGTCCCTGGGGCTGCTATGTTGTTTACAACTTCACCTTGAGCTTTTCCTTTGGGTATCCCTGATTAGAAATGCACATATAAAGCATATTTTGCAAAGTTTTTAAAAATTAAATTATGTTGTTTATTAGTTTATATTACCTGTGGAGATCAGTAGAAAGATCATCAAAAGAGTAACGGTGCAGAAGCTCTTCGCCATTTTGTTTCCTTCTCTTTTTTTTCCCGCTACTTCAACTTTGACTTATTTTCTTCTTAGTCTCCACATTTACATGAGAAAACTAGGTTCTATTTATACTGAAAATCTGAGTTTCAAAAAAAAAAAAAAAATTATACTGAAAATCCTTTGATTTTTTTATTCGATTCGATGGGTGATGATAATGATGAATATTACTAATGGCTAACTACTAACTGAAACGTGCACATGTTGAAGCCATCTAGGCGTGTACAACCATTAGTTGTTAAGCAGAATGCAGATCCTATTTAATATTGTCAAAAAAAATTTCGCGTGTGTATGTTTTCTTCATATGTTTTTTGTGTGTTTAAGGGTATGTATTTGTTTAAGCTGTCAAAGTGTATGTTAGTTAATATATGTTGAATATATATATATGACAAGAAAATCCACACAACTCATTAGAAAATCCATTTTCGTGTTGCTATCAAGTGAAACGTGCAACCTAGTATTTTTTTCATGAATTGTTAGAAATCCGCAAAAGGTATGTCATGAATAAGAAAACAGAAACCCAAAAATAAAATAAAAAACAGAAACCTAAAAGAGCAAATGCTATTCTAGCTTATGTAAAGGTTAATAAGACTCGTCTTGTTTCCTTAAAAAAAAAATACTTCAGTTCCTCGCCTTTGAGTAGTACATTTCCAAATGTGAACAATTATTATTTTATGCTTGACATATATAATATATTTGACATTCAAACAAAATACACATGTATTTGGTAGATCAAATAATAACAAGCAATTGCATGAACCACTGATCTACCATGTATTTGGTGAAGTTTTTCTTTGTCTGGATGAGGTTAAAATGAAATCTACAAAGGTACTATTAGTATTATGTGAGGTTGCAGCTGAATAGAGATATTCACATCACACAACAGCTGCATTTGTTTTACCTATATCTATATTTTGATTGACATCTCGAGTTCTTTTTCTTTGGTTGAAAACATTAAAATATCCAAAAAAGAGACGTGTTGAGGTTTGAACATGATTCTAAGGTTCGGTGACGGTTTAAGTGAGTATGAATGGCGCCTTTCATTATGAAAAATCGTTGCAAGAGAGGAAAAACATATTGTTAGAAAAAACTGCAAAGAAAAAAGGAAAGTGTTGACATAAGAATGATGAAAGTTTACAGGCAAATATGCAGAGTGTTACTCACAAAAACCTCATCCTTCTACAACTGTATAACTTCTGCTAATGAAAATTTTCTGGTGGACTTCAATTGTCTAAAGGTTAAATTGATAAACACATTAGGGTTGAGAATTTTAACCGAACGGACCTGAAAAGTTTGGTTAGTTTAGTTCGAAAGTTCGGTAGCAAAAACAATATTTAGTTTTTGGTTTGGTAATCGGTTAGTTCGGTTTCTAAAAAAAAAAAACAGTATCAATCTTAACTGAAATTCTGAACTAACCAAACTCACCAAAATCCAAACCGAAATAATGAAATAACCAAAATTGACCAAAATATTTCAAATTATATTCAATTTATAACTAACTAACTAACTGTAAAACCAAAAACTTCGGTAAATTTTTTTGGTTCACTTTGATGAAATTTCGATTGACCCAAACTAATCGATCCAAAGTAACCGAAGAAACTGAACCCGCATGTCTAAAATTTATAATGTAAGATATTCCAATCCGCACAAGTACGCGGATGTAATTCTAGTTTTTATCTAAATTCATGGTCGTTATTTTCGCATTCACATGGCCGATTAGTATGTGAAAAGTATTTTATAAATAAACAAAACTATGGTGTTCAAAAAAAAAAAAAATTACAGGAAACATGTGTAATAAACAAAAAAACACAAGGACACAAAAGATATGGGGACTTCCTGTAATAAATAAAAACTATAAGACACAAATGTAAATAAACAAAACTTCAACGAATATATGTAAGAAACTGAACAAAAAATAAAATAATAATCTATTTTTTTTGTCTCGCTTCGCTTGCTCTCTCTCTCCGCCTCCAGAGCACTCTCCTCGCTGCGACTACTCTCTCAGGTGAAGAAAGTTCGTATCTTTAGTCTTCTTTCTCTAAAGGAACTTCGAATATTCGATTTCTCCATATCATATAATCCTTCTTCGTTAGTCTAAATAGGTCTTTTTTTTTAATCAAGGAGTTAAAGAGTGTTTTAGGGTTTTTGAACTTGTCTGTTTGCAGATGGCGAGCAGTATAATCTTGTTCGAGGATATCTTCGTGGTCGATAAGCTTGACCCTGATGGCAAAAAATTCGATAAAGGTACATACTTTTTTTTTTAACTTCAGTCACTATAAGCTTAAGTTGATGTTACTTTATGGCTGTTTAGTTTCGTAGCTTCTTATGTTTGATTTGGAGTCTTAGAGAAGTTAAAATTTTAGTTACTGTGAAAAAGATCTCAACTTTAGAAGTTTTTTTTTGTCTCCCATCTCTTAAGTTTTGTTCTGTCTTAATATTGAGTGGCTTTCTCATAGGAAACGGTACCCAGTTTGTGGTTGCTCTTCATCTTTAAATTATGTTCTGTCTTAAATTGAGATTTGAGAGGCTTTATCATGGGAAGACAGTACATGTATTTGTTGTGTTGGACTCTCTCTGTGTTTATGTCTTTGAACTGAGAGCCTGTCTCAGTGGAAGTTTTGTTCTGTCTTTTAGTTGAATGGTTTTCTCATAGTAAAAAAACCACAATGATTGATGCTAAGTTTTTCTTTTTTTTTTTGTCTCCCATCTCTAAGTTTTGTTCAGTCTTCATACTGAGTGGCTTTCTCATAGGAAACAGGACAATGGTTGATTGTGTGTGTCTCTCTGTGTTTTTGGTTTCTCTACCATTTCTAAGTTTGGTTCTGTGACTTCTGTCTTTGATGTGAGAGGCTTTTTCATAGGAAACCTACATTGATTGATCTCTATGATTGTGGTCACTCTCATCGTTAAGTTTTGTTATTTATTTGAATTGAGAGGCTTTCTCATACAGTGAGTGATTGTGTTTGCGGTTACTCTTCTATCTCTGAGTTTTTGTTCTGTCTATTAATTGAGAGGCTTTTCTCATATTAAACCTACAGTGATTGATTGGGTCTTCTCTGTGTGTTTTGTGGTTACAGTTACGCGTATTGAAGCAACTAGCCACAACCTGGACATGTTTATGCATCTAGATGTCAACACAGAGGTTTATCCGATGGCTGTTGGTGATAAGTTCACACTAGCTATGGCTCCTACTCTTAATCTCGATGGAACCCCTGATACCGGATACTTCACTCCGGTAATAACAGTCTTCTGTTTGCTTTACTAGTTCTCATGAATGGTAACACTAGTGAAGCTTAGTCATGTAGCTTGTTGATTCTATTTAAACTCTGAAGCTGTATAAGAAATTTGATTAGAACATATCCTTTAATGTATAAGTGCTTGATATTTAACAATTGAGCTGGCTTGAGCTTGATTCAGAAAGTCTCCTTAGTAATGTAAGCATATGGAATTTTGAGCCGGTCTTTGGTGTTTTGATATTATTACAGGGAGCAAAGAAGACGCTTGCTGATAAGTACGAATACGTCATGCACGGGAAGCTTTACAAGATCACTGAGCGTGACGGCCAAACTCCAAAAGCGTAAGAAAGAAACCTTCAAACTTTCAAAATCAATGTCTTAAAACTGTTTTGGTTTCTTCTTCTTCTCATTATGTTTTTTTTTTTTGCAGAGAGATGTATGTTTCTTTTGGTGGCCTCCTAATGTTGCTTCGTGGAGATCCAGCTCACATTTCTCACTTTGAACTCGACCAGAGGCTCTTCCTTCTCATGAGGAAGCTTTGAGAATTCCATCGTTTGATCATTTTCGGCTTAGGGCCAAGATTTATCTTTATGTTCTCAACTTTGGTTTTGATGTTATGCTTCATGAAGCAGCTCTTGTACCAAAGCAGCATGTTGTCCCTACTGTTTTTAACATCCTCTTGCAAAATTTAAAGTTTTGTTTTCACTTGCGAACGACATTCTTTCTTCTAACAACAACATGAATCCAATAAAAACTCAAAACTGTCAGGTCAGGATTTGACATGATCAAGTAGGAAAAATTTACAAGTATCTAGTTGTATCTAAAAATTTCTATCTGGAATAACATTAAAACGTAAACATATAATTAAATATTCATATTAATAAAAATAGTTTTTTTTTGCAACAATTAATAAAAATAGTTAAATGTTCAGTTTTGACATTATTTAATTATGCAAAAATTCTATAATATCTAGAGTGCTATTGTTTCTCTTAATTTAGTTTGGAGCAGAAGAGATAGATTGGTGTAAAAATTGAATTAAATTTTTATTTATTATTATAACGAAAATATTACTCCCAAATGATATTTAATTTGAAACGAAGAAAATATATAGCAAACCAAATTAATAGTCGAGTTTTATTATGAAACAAGCCAAACCAATGGCTATTTATTTAACTGATTGTTCCAAACCATACAACAAAAACATTAAATAAAACACACATGCACATAGACAAATTCAAACACAAATTAAGTGACAAAGATCAATGAAAGTTCAACTACTACAACATATTTTCACAAGCCGTAAGTTTAAGCTGGGCAAGTGTAACAATTACAAACGTCTCTTGTGTCCTGAGCTTCACACATGCCGCGGATATATCCCATAAGAACGCAATTAGTGTTGCAAACAGCCCTTGAAGGCTGTAGTGCGCAGGTCCCTCTGATTAGTATTCTGATTGTTTCTCCTGGGCATTGAGCTTTTCCTTTCGGTATCCCTGATTAGATCATGCACATATATCTATAATATAAATATATAATTTTTACATCACGTGTTTGATAAAATGTTTTTGATAAAACATGTTTTGCAAAGTTTTATATTACCTGTGGAGATCAGTAGACAGATCATCAAAAGAGTAACAATACACAAGCTCTTCGCCATTTGAGAGTTTTCTCTTTTCTTTATGTGTGTGAGTGTGTGTGTAACGAGAGAGAGTGAGAATAAACTTTATTATTTTCTTGTTAACTTTATACTGGGGAAACTTGGGACACGTATCATAGAAGAGATGACAATTGGCATCTCAATAAAAGGCAAGAAAGGCAAGTGTGTCCCACGTGTGAAAAATATAGATAGATATTCATTATCCTTTATAACAAGATTCTATTTATACTGAAATTGCGTTGACTTTTTATCAGGTTTGATGGATGATGATAATGATGCATATTACTAAATGCTGGCCACTAACTAAATCATTTAAAAGCATATTTAATGGAAAATTTTTAGAGTGATATTGTTAACGGTATATAAAAACATATTTCTTTATTTTATCTAAAAAAAATTTTAAATAAGATATTTAAGAATCGATTTTTAACTTTTTTAGTTAAAAGTTAAAAAAAAACAGATTCTTATATTTCGTTAAAAATCTATATTAAAATCCCTTAATAAACATGCCAAGAACCTTCATCAAGATTTGTACAGCTATTACCTGTTAAACTGTTCATATTTAAAATATGATTTTGCCAACTTTGATTTCGTGTGGGTGTTTTTTATTCGTATGTTTATTGTGTATTTGTGTTTGGGAATATGTATATGTTTAAGCCATCAAAGTGTATATTAATTAATCTTGATGTATATATCTCTTCATTAATTGGCACAAATCTAGTAAAACTATAATGAAAACACAAACGTTTGTGCAAAAATATTTTATGAATATACATAGAGCTTGAGTAAGATTTATCTTATGTTCAACTTTTCTTTTGATGTTATGCTCAAGAAGCAGCTCTAATACCAAATCATGTTGTCCCTACTCTTTTTAAACATCCTCTGCACAATTAAACTATTGCAATTGAAACAATATGCTCTTACTTCTTACTTGCTTGAGACCAATAGCTCTCTTTGGAGAAGAACAGACACATGCAGTGTTATGTTTTACATCTTTTCTGACATACTTTAGAGCATCCAACAAAATGAATCCAACAAAACTCATAACTGTTCGGTCAGGGTCTTGATCAAATCAAAGATCAAGCATGGGAATGTTTCTTCTTGGAGTTGTTTACTCGTGCTTGTATCCAGACGCCTTGCCACTTCTCCCAACTAAGAAAGGCTCAGGAGTAGTATTGTCGCTGTTTAACTCCAGACCACGGTAACCACGGTTGAGAAAATACTCAGGTCCTGATTTTGCAGCGGTTTGCTTAGCAAGTTGGTTATGATCTTTGCCTCTCAATAACAATGCTTTCTCTGCAGCTTGTACCAACGCCATTGTCTCATCTTCCTCACCATTCTCAGCTTCATCTGCACCAACAGTAACCAACTAATTTGTCAAACTCATGGGGATCCAAAAAATGACGTTTTAGCTGATTGGAAAAGAAATGTATTGATACCGTTTGTATTGTGAGATTCTACGTAACCACCCTGAAAGAAAGAGAAGCGTGGCTCCTCCTCTTCTGACCCGTTCTCTGCTTCTGATTCTGGTCTTGTAGAGTTGATAATCACATCTTGGAAATGCATTAGGTAAGCCCCTGTCCATTCACTCCCTCTGGAACACATAAACCCCAAAGACACTGCTTCAGAAACTCATATGAATCAAACTACAAAAGCTAAAAAGATTCAATAGTTTTTTTCTATTACCTGCTAAAAGCAAGATTGGCTTCAAATGGAGTGATGACAGGTGCCATGAACTCTTTACTATCTAAAAGAGCGGTTTGTGCGCATGAGATGTAAATGAAAACATCGCACTAAGAAAACAAAAACAGAACACAAAAAAAAAAACAATTACTCATTTGACCAATGTTCAGAAATCTTTAGGCAGATGCCTAAACCGATTTTTAGAAAACTGCATTTGACATATCTCACTTTGGTTGCTAAAATGTTGAATGACAAGACACTATTTGAACTTACCTCAGGGAAGTTAGCAAGTTTGGCAGGGTTAGGCCGTCCCATGGCAAGAATGTAAGATTTTTTTCCAGCAGCAGATATTAAAGCTTGCATATGGTGAATCATGTGAAGGTAACCAGCTGCATTTCAATGCATTAAACTCATCAATCTTGACATCACATTATGTAAAAAATTGAGTTGTCAATGAACTTACCAACACCAAGAGTCCCCACCAGAATACCTATAATATTAGCATCCTTAGCTTTCTCCACCAAGTAATATCTGCAAAACACATCACTTTGAATGAGGACTAGGAATCTAAACCAATAGAGATGTCTGTTTGAAACAACTGATCATACCTTCGTTTAAGTATCCTTCTCTGTTGAGTAAACTCCGTCACCAAAGAATCTTCTTCCGCATCATATCTGACTAACATCAACAAAACAAAACAAACCAAACCAAACCAAGAATACAGTCAGAGCAGGCAGTGGAAACGTTAGTAAAACAAGCAGACAGTAGTAGATCAAGAGGGTAAAGCCATATATATACCTACGTCACAACCATTGAAGGTGAGTACTACATTAGCAAAAGCTGAACTGTCAGAACCGATCCAGAAAAGTAAATAATCCTCTATTTTGCTTCCTTCTGGTAACTCCCAAGTCAACCCTCCCAATCTATAGCTTCTAGATGAAGACAAGCTATCTTCCCCACATGGTACTGGATGCTCCATGGATTCTCTAGGATCTTTTGATGGACTAATGAATGAACACATGACATTAGCTACAGAGAACTTCAACTCAGCCTTTGATAATCTCAACTCTTCTTGAATAGACGGAATCACATGAGCGTACTCTAGTCCATAAAGAATCTGAAACCAATCCAAACAAAGAGTAAAAAACACATACTCCATCAGTTTCACTTTAATTGTCATTCTAAGTTTTTACACACAGATTAAAGAAACATTTAATTCTACATATTTTCAAGATAAAAACACATTTACATATACACCTAACTACTTTTTAACCAATAGAGAAATAAAATATCATATAAAACTAATATAAATTTTGGTCGAAACTCTAAAACAGACACTTATTTTGAAACAAATTTTTTTCTCCACAATGATAACTAATTTGAAACGGAGGGACTATATATTATCATCATAAACATAAGCTAAGTTCACATACCATAACAGGCTTATCGTTCTTAGACGTGTAATCAACCAAATGCTTTACACAACTCGAGACATTTATCGAAGCTTTCCCAAAAACAAAAAACGCTGGAAGAACCGATGTCCTGCAAGAAAAAAACAGTGTTGTTTTTTTTATTTATTACAGCAACGACACAAAAAAATCAAGAAGAGTGTTGTTTTATTTAAGTGAAACTCACGGGCTAAGACATGTTTGTCCGTAATGAACAACACATTGAGAATCAATATGCAAAGCTCCAACTTCATCAACGCAACAACTACCATAAGTTGTGTCAGCCATAACAAAGAACCTAACTTCTCTGTCGTTTTCAGGACTCATCTCCTTGAGTTTGGTCTTAAGAGCGCGAACGACTTTAGTTGATTCCTTTAACAACTCATCTGGGAACTATCACAGAAGTAAATAAAAATTAAAAAAGAATTAAGCTTTATTAAACCCAATACACTAAAGTAACTATCTTTGCTAATAAGGAGAAGTCTTGATTACCTGTAAAGCTATTCTGGTGAAGCTTTTGCTGATTATGAATTCTACAGTACGAATAATCTCGTATCTTGATTCAAACTCAATCTCCATGGATTAAGAGAAGGAGGGAAGAGCTTTGGAATCGGAGGAGATTAAAAAAAAGCTCAGGCGAGTGGCGGCTGAAGGAGAGTAGAGAGAAGAATCAAAACAGAGGAGGAATGATAAATTGTTGAATTACCGGTTTAGGTTAATAAATAGGTAAATTACCGGTTTAGGTAATATTCACCCGGTTTATGACAATGTTTGGTCTGTAGAGCTGTCAAATGGTCTGTCCATGGGCCAAATGGGCTTGACCAAAGGGACCATTTGAGATATGGGCAATACTGGGTGGTCCAATATGGACAATGGTCCAAAAAGTGTCCAAGACCAATAAAGACCAAGACCAAATGGTCAAGCCCATGGACACCCAATACATTTTCATTTGTATTCAATTACATTTATATGTTTATTNTAGAGCTGTCAAATGGTCTGTCCATGGGCCAAATGGGCTTGACCAAAGGGACCATTTGAGATATGGGCAATACTGGGTGGTCCAATATGGACAATGGTCCAAAAAGTGTCCAAGACCAATAAAGACCAAGACCAAATGGTCAAGCCCATGGACACCCAATACATTTTCATTTGTATTCAATTACATTTATATGTTTATTTATTTGTACTTATTTAAATTTATAAAATCTCATAAAAGTTGTAATTTATTTATTGTTACTTCTTTAAATTTATAAAATCTGTAATTAGTTGTTTGTACTTATTTAAATTTTATAAAATCTGTAAAATGAGAACAATGAGTCAATGAGTATGAAACAATGAAACCAATGAGTTTAAAAGTTTGAAACAATGAAAAATATGAGTCAAGCAATAGAAAGCAATGAGTTTTAAAACATAACAGATAGCATGTAAGAGTATTGTGACAGCCAGGAAACAAACATATAGCACAAGACATCTTCAATCTTCAAACAACTTCACAAGATCATCCTGCATCACAAACAGCACAAGACATCAAATCCTGAAATATTTGAGCAAAAAAAAACACTGATCGAAACAGAGACTTCTCTGCCTAATTCTCTTATACACTATCTCAGTGACAGTACCTATCAGCTAACTAAAATGAATGATCAAACTTGTAGCTCGGAGCACATCACACTTACCAACGAATCTTCAGTGAAGTTAAAGAACTGAAATATTATCGCCACAATTAAGAAGACAATACCCACAACTATTCCCAGCGACTCAGGCCTACAAAGAAACAAGACGAACAAAAAGTGAGAAATAGTGAAAACCAGCGCAACAAAGACTCTTTAATCCGACCAGACAAGCAAAAGTCAGATGTTAACCTAAGAGACATCCACTCTAAGAAAAACGCATAACACTAATACTAATCTGAAACCAAAATAACTTAATGAGACAAATTTAAAGAGCTAAAGACTTACACATTAACATAAACAAACTAATCAGACCACATAAGCAAGTCAGATGTCACAGAGATCAAATCAAGCCTAGACTTGGACAGAGCATCCGTTTCAAACACTAAAACTTAGCTGAAACCAAAACAACTAAAGCAGACAAATCTAAAGAGATAAAGACTTACACTTTAACATTAACAAGCTAATCAGACCACCCAAGCGAAGTTAGACATCACAGAGATAACTAACTGATTCAAAATACTTTATAAGCAATTATTTTATTCTCTTATTTAGATTAGAACCACCAAAATATAACCGAAGTATTGAAAGGCGTAAGTACAATTACGTCAAGGAAGAAACCGTTTAAACCATCAAAACCACCAGGACCAACACCATTATCATTACCATTATTATATCAATACCATTACTATATCACATAAAAGGATAGTGGAATGGAGGGAGAGACAGTCTCTCAACTAAGTTAGTGAATATTATGAAGACATTATCAAAACGAAAATTATCCAAATCAGTATGAACTTGAGCACACAAGACACCAAGCAGATCCACTCATTGTCACTTAACAACCAGGTTTACTAAAAAAATACAAATGTCAAATCTTTCAGCAAATTAGAGTGACCAGGTATTATCTTCATGAACACAAGTCAACAAACACCAAATGATTGCAAGCAACAGGTAACATACATCTAACATAAACCTTGACTGAGTTTTCTATCATCTTCAATCAAGGACGTGATACACTTAAGAAGAGACAGAGCACTAGTGGGAGTGATGCCAGATCGATCAGAGAGACTTAAGGAGCTAAGCAAATGGTTCATGCCTTATTTCATCAGCTCACAAAGAAAACAACAAAAATAACGCTAAAGCAATAGCTATAAGAATCTTATGAACAATGCCAACAAAAAATGGAAGACATTATCGCAGCTGCAATTTAAAAATAATAATAATGATAACACTACCACTATTAGCTCCACAATGAAGTGGACAAGAGAGATGATTAGGGAATAATCAAACCAGTAGGTGGAAGAATGTTCTTGACGAAAATGAAGATGGCTTTCTCAGGACTGAGCTTGATCCTCTTCCTCACAACATAAACAAACTGACCAACTGTCAGATCAGCTGGGACCAAGTACCTTCAAAGTGTTTTCCACATGACATAACTTAGTTTCTAATATCTCAAAACATCAATAAGCTATGAAATCAAGAAAACATACTTTTTCTTGTCAATATCAGGGACATCACTCTTCTCGGCTCTTTCAACAATGACCTGCACAATAACAAAGAGAGAATAAGCAAGCAAATAAATGCAATTTTTCTTGAAAGAAGATAATAGATGGGGGAGAGGCTGATACGGGTATTCTATCTGGATACTTGTCTCTGATACGAGAAGCTTCAGCTTGTCTCTTCTCTGTAACATATATATAAGAGTAATTAATATTCTATAGAGTTATCATGTGTTTGCATGATCCTCATCAAACACCGAAAACAAAACAATATAATATATGTTTCAATCAAGATTAGGTACACACTAATCCAAAAGAGCGTTTCTATATAAAATCAAGTGAATCTGATTATCTTACTCAGTTTTCGAGATCCTCTTACTATAATGCTAAAGCAATAGCTATAAGAATCTTATGAACAATTCATTTCAGCCTAAAGCCTAAACTAACAAGCATCAAAACATATAAGTGTGAGAGACTGAGAGACTCTTACTTGAGAGAGAGAGGTCGCCGGAGAGAGGTCGCCGGAGAGAGAGGTCGCCGGAGAGAGGTCGCCGGAGAGAGAGAGCTTGAGAGACGGAGAGAGAGATCCTGAGAGAGAGAGAGAGAGAGCTTGAGAGACGGAGAGAGAGAGAGATCCTGAGAGTGAAAGACACAGAGAGTCAGAGACTTACAGAGTTTGAGAGAGCTTGAGAGAGATCGCCGGAAAGAGAGAGATTGGGAGACGGAGAGGTCGCCGGAGAGAGAGAGATTGATGAACCCACAAACCCAGATCAAGCTATGGAGGAGAAAAATCGATTGCCATCGCCACTGTGAGAGCGATTGAGAGACGGAGAGATGAGAGAGCAAATTAGGTTTGACGTAAAAAAAAAAAAAAAAAAAACTGTGTAATTATATCGGCCCGAAACCCATTTGGACAAGACCAAATTGTCCATGGGTGAAATGGGCTTAGGCCCAATTGGACCATTTGTAATTTGGTTGCAACCATGGACCGCCCATCACAGTTTGGACTGGTCAAGCCCATGGGCGGGGTGACCATTTGACAGTCCTANAGGTTTGACGTAAAAAAAAAAAAAAAAAAAACTGTGTAATTATATCGGCCCGAAACCCATTTGGACAAGACCAAATTGTCCATGGGTGAAATGGGCTTAGGCCCAATTGGACCATTTGTAATTTGGTTGCAACCATGGACCGCCCATCACAGTTTGGACTGGTCAAGCCCATGGGCGGGGTGACCATTTGACAGTCCTATTGGTCTGGTTGGGTTTGTTTTCATTTTTTGGTTTATTTATTTTGTTTTGTTTTTTTTGTTCTTTTACCGAAATTTAAATTGAAGTATAGAGAAAGGATTGAAACTTCAAAAAGGTGGTTATATCTAATTTTCATATAGAAGTCAAGTCTCAACTATACTTTAGCTACAAAGATTTATTATCATTTCTCAACATCACGATGATGTTTCTATGATATTTGAAAATAAAAAATATTATTTTGATCATTTTGATTTTTAAGATCTATTTTATGATAAAAAATTTAAAAAGTCTATTTGAAAGAATTGTATGACAAAAATTTAGTTTTTGACATATAAACCAACAATAACTATATACTAAGGCATTTAGACAAAAAACTATATTTCAATAAGTTTTATTTTTCTAGATATAAATATGGAAATTACTTAAATTTAAAATAATTTATATATTAATTTTAAATGATACTAATTTTACAATATAAAAACCAATCAAAATCTCAATTAAACACCATTACCGGCAAAAAAAACTGGGGTTTGACATCTATTAAACCGGGTATAAGTACACTAATCGGTTCAGCAAAAACGACATCGTTTAACCAGCCGCCTTCACGCAATTTCTACACCTTTCTTGCACTCCGATTCCTCCGGTTGTCTTTCTTTTTTTGTTCTTGTTCAGACAGACAAGAAAGCTTCATCTCCAAGAATCCAATTAGGGTTTCGTCAAAGGTATTACATTTATTTTCATCCTCCTTATACTCCCTATTTTGGGTCGTTCAAAAGTTCCAACCTTTAGATCTCTACTACTCGTCTCTATTCGTTTAGGTAAACGTCTTTGCTGTGATTTAACGTTTTGTTTGTAAAGCTCTCTATTGTGTTGTATTCATAAGGTAAAACGCATACATATATATATAGGAAGATCTCATAAGAGATAACTTCCAACACAAGTAAAGAGAAATCCTAGTTCCTAAAGTATCGTGAACACAGAATTATCAATTTAGGTGATATATATCTGATATATCTAATACTCCCCCTCAAGATGGAGAGTGTAGATCACGAACTCCCATCTTGCAAAGTAGATAGTTGAATTGTCGACGTCCCAATGCTTTAGTGAGGAAGTCTGCAATCTGATCTTGAGTGCCAACATGTTGAGTAGAAATGATTTTGTCTTGAACTGCATCACGAATAATATGACAATCGGATTCAATATGTTTGGTGCGCTCGTGGAAGACAGGATTTGCAGCTATATGCAAAGCTGATTTGTTGTCACAATACATTGGTATTGGCGCTGATGGTGTAACTCCAAATGCTGTGAGAAGTTCTAGTAACCACTGTAACTCTGAATAGGTATATGACATGGAGCGATATTCAGCCTCTGCTGATGAGCGAGAAACAGTTGGTTGTTTCTTTGTTTTCCAAGAGATTGGCGTGTCACCGAGAAAAATAACATAACCAGTCAGAGACCGTCTCGTTCTTGGACATGCCGACCAGTCAGCGTCGCAATAAACTGTAAGTTGCAGAGATGGTTGGGAATCCAGGAAGAGACCTTGACCTGGACAGCCCTTTAAGTACCTAACTACCCTAATCGCTGCTTCCCAATGTTTCTTACGTGGTTTAGCCATAAACTGTGCTAGTAAGTGAACCGCATAACTTAACTCTGGTCTGGTGATAACAAGGTATACTAAACGACCAACAAGCCTGCGATATTGGGCTGGATTTGTGTGATACTCACCAACTTCTTGTCCCAGCGTGTGATTCTGTTCAACTGGCGTGTCAAATGGCTTTGAACCAGAGAGACCGCATTCTGAAATAACATCTAGAGCATATTTTCTTTGTGAGAGATAGATACCACTGTTTGCGCGAGAAACCTCTATGCCCAAAAAATATTTGAGAACACCAAGATCTTTCATACGAAAGCATTGACTGAGATAATCTTTGAATTTTGCAGTAAATGATTCATTGTTGCCGCCAATAACAAGATCATCCACATAGACTAGAACATAGAGCTTTGTGGTGCCTTTAACATAGGAGAAGAGTGAGTAGTCCTTGCGATTTTGAACAAAACCAAAACGCAGGAGAGCTTGAGAGAGCTTGGCAAACCAACACCTTGGTGCTTGCCTCAGACCGTAGAGTGACTTGCGAAGTTTGCAGACTACATTCTTTTGTGGAGAAGAGAAACCTGGTGGTAATCTCATGTAGACTTCCTCGTCTAAGTCACCGTGCAAAAACGCATTATGTACGTCCATTTGGTATAAACTCCAATTTTCTGTGGCAGCCATTTTGAGTAAGACACGTACTGTAGTGAGCTTGACGACTGGAGCAAACGTTTCGTTGAAATCTTCACCCTCTTGCTGTTGATTCCCATAAGTAACCAACCTAGCTTTGAAACGTTCGATTGTGCCGTCTGAGTTATATTTGATTTTGAAAACCCACTTACATCCTAGAGCATGTTTGCCAGGAGGAAGGCTGGTGAGGTCCCATGTATGTTGATCTTTAAGAGCCGTAATTTCAGTTGCCACTGCTTCTCTCCAAACCTTTTCAAGCATAGCCTCTTTGAAGCTGGTAGGTTCCTTTGACTTGAATACAGCCGCAAGGAAGGCCTTCTGTGAAGGAGAAAAAATATCACATGATACATAATCCGTGAGTGGATAGAGACACTTACCAGAGGAGCTAGGATGTGGTAGCGGTGGAGCGCGAGCGGGTTTATCATGTAGTTTTGCAGAGTTTGTGACGTAGTCCTTTAATAGGACTGATGGTTTAGATATTCGGTGACCTCTACCCAACGCTTCTTGTGATGTACTCTGTTCTTCTTGAGTCATAGTTGCAGGTTCTGTAGGAGTTGCAGTTTCTGTAGGTTCTGTAGGATCTGCAGTCTCTGTAGGTTCTGTAGAAGGAGTGTCTATGAGTGGTGAAACAGACTCTCCCCCTGTCTCATCTGAAATCGTAGGTTGTTGAGGAATTGTTTCAAGAATCTGAGGCGGTGTATTTATTATTGTCTCGTCAAAGAACACTGGCTGAGACTGATGAACAGGAGTTTCAGGCTCAGATTGCAGGGATGAGTATGGAAAAACATCCTCATGGAATGTTACGTCTCGAGATACAAATGTTGTCTCAGACTGTAGGTCAAATACAAGCCATCCTTTCTTGCCATATGGGTACCCAAGAAAGATACACCTTATTCCACGATCCTCAAACTTGTCTGTTGAGCGACGGACTTTTCGAGCATAACACAGACATCCAAATGTTCTTAAATCTTTATATACTGGTGTTTGTTTGGACAAAATTTCGAAAGGAGACTTTCCTTGCAGAAGAGTAGAAGGTGTCCTGTTTATCAGATGTGTGGCTGTTAAGATACTTTCACCCCAAAACCGTGTGGGAAGATGAGCTTCTAATAGGAGTGATCTAGCCACATTTAATATATGACGGTGCTTGCGTTCCACGCGTCCATTTTGTTGTGGAGTAGCAACACACGAGGTCTGATGAACTATCCCTTGTGAGTCGAAGTATTTTTTGAGACAAGTGAACTCTGTTCCATTGTCTGTTCGTACAGTCTTCACTTTCTTATTGAATTGTCGTTCTACCAAGGCAAAAAAGTTTTTCAGAACACTTCCAACTTCAGATTTTTCAAGAAGCAAGAAGGTCCAGAGAGCTCTAGAGAAGTCATCTACGATTGTAAGAAAGTATGATGCTCCACAAGATGATTTTTCTCTATATGGTCCCCAAACGTCACAGTGAATTAATGAAAACACATCGTCTGCTTTATTAGAACTCTCGTGAAAAATTACACGAGTTTGTTTAGCACGGTTGCAAGTATCACAAAGCTCATCTAAATCACTATTTTTTGTAGAAAAGTTTCCTAAATCTGATAGAAAAGACAAAACTTTCGACGACGGATGACCCAAACGTCGATGCCATAAATTCCTAATATCCTTTTTGCTGGTGTGATTTGCTTGAGGAATAACCGAACCAGTAAGATGATAAACCCCGTCGCGCTCTTCACCCGCACCAATCAAAGTCCTCGAAGCTAGGTCCTGTATTACACAAAATTGTTTAGTGAATATGACGAAGCTTGCAATATCTTTAAGCAATTGTGAAACTGAGATCAGAGTAATAGAAAGCTGTGGTGCATAAAACACATGATGTAGTATCAGCTTTCCGCCAAGGTTTAAAGTTCCATGACGTGTTGCCCAAGCTACTCCTCCATCAGGCAAGGAGATAGCACAAGCGTTGATTGATTTGAGATTGGTCAGGAGGTTCATGTCTCCGGTCATATGATGCGAAGCTCCAGAGTCGATAATCAAATCGTACTTGCTGTTTGTCCCATAAAGGACAAGATTCTTACCAGATAGTTTATCTTTAGTTTGCTTCTGATTGACAAAATTTGCTATTGAGTTCCATTGACTTTGTGTGAGATTGGGGATTCCTGTCTCTGTATTTGACGTATTGTCATTCACGACAGTTTGTGATGGCTGTTGATTTCGTATGATATCAGCTTGATTGGCAGAAGGACCACTGCGACCTCTTCCTCTGCCTCTGTAAGAACCTCTTCCACGTCCAGCTGAACCACGACCAGATGATGATGTTGAATCACCAAACCATTCGGGATAACCAATAAGCTTGTAGCATTGATGTTTCTCATGTCCTGTTTTTCCACAATGAGAACACGACACTGACTGATTCTGTTTTGCGGCTGCAGCAGTTGCAGAGAAACCTACTGCTCCTCCCGTTTCAGGTTTGTCTTGTGTAACCTCGAGATGTCTCTCTTCTTGAGTTATTTGTGAGTAGACTTTCTCCATGGTATAATCATCAAGACGACTCAGCAGATTAGATCGAGAAGTACCAAATCTGCTTTTATCAAGTCCCATAAGGAACTGATGCATCAAGATTTTTTCTTGTGTCTTGCGGAACTTTTTCATCGAAGCACACATATCCATTCCACAGCAGCAGTTGAAGGACCCGTCAAAAGAAGACAGATCATCCCATAGTACCTTTAGCTTTCCGTAATAAGCTTCCACCGATTGTCCATCTTGTTTACAAGCAGAGATATCGGCTCTTAACTGATGTATACGAATATCATCTCCAGTAGAGAACCTTGCTTTTAGGTCAGACCACATCACGGAAACATCTGAGACAAGGGATATTGATGTACGTAGATGTGGTTCTATGCTACTGTATATCCAACCGATGATCATGGCGTTAACTATATCCCATCGTTCAGCTTCATCTTCTACATTGGGTCTTTTTAAAGTCCCATTGATGAACCCTAATTTTCTCTTAGTGCGAAGAGAATTAGTCATCAGTTTTGCCCATCTTTCATAATTGGATCCGTTTAATAAAAACGGAGTTTGTACTTGCCCTGTATGATCAGAGGCATGTAAATAATATGGAGATATTAAGCTTTTGTCGCTAACGGCGAGATCTTTGCCGGAGGAGCCTGTCATCGTTTTCTTCTTCTTTCTTTATTTGAGAGCTAAAAAATTCTACAGGCCAAAACCTGGCTCTGATACCATGTAAAGCTCTCTATTGTGTTGTATTCATAAGGTAAAACGCATACATATATATATAGGAAGATCTCATAAGAGATAACTTCCAACACAAGTAAAGAGAAATCCTAGTTCCTAAAGTATCGTGAACACAGAATTATCAATTTAGGTGATATATATCTGATATATCTAATATTGTTCTTTGTTTGATTGTTTGTTGAAGATCCTTAAAAGTTGGTGTCTTGAGAGAGAAGCCAACAGAGATGATCTCTACGCAAGCTAACCTATTGAAACCTTCCTTTTTCTGTGCAAGAGCTTCACACACGAAACATGTGTTTAAGATACCATATTTTACGACGTCGTTACGTTTTGATTATCAGCCACGTTGCAATTTAACTCTTAGGGCGTCTGCATCATCATCGACGTCTACTCAGTTTTCGCCTCTGCTGAGCCATAAGTGTCGTCGTTTGCAGAGTTGGGAGCAGAGGAAAGGTCCTGTGGTTTGTGTTCTTGGTGGGAAGGATAGAGATGGTGGTAGTAATGAGGTTAGAAAGATGCCCTTTTCTTCATTCTTTACATGTTTAAATTGATCTTTTATGTGTGTGTGTGTGCGCGTGTAAGAAGATGGTCACAGATTTCAAGTTAAATAAAAAAAAGAAGATGGTCACAGAATTGAGCTGTGTTTTATGATGATAAGTAGTGTTTGTATGATGCTTTTTGTGCTGTGTGGTTTCTTATTGAAGTGATACTAGTGATGAGATCAAGTTCATTTTCTTCATTCTATGGATGGTTTTACTTATTAGATCATTGAGATGTTGAGATTAGTCTTTACATGATTTCAAATTGATATTTTGTGTGTGTGAGAATTTGGTCACAGCTCACAGGATTGGGCTGAGTTGTCTTTTATAAGATGCTTTAGTGCTGTGTGTGATTTCGTTGTTGAAGGGACAAAACTTATAAGAGTGATGAGATGAGATGCCTTTTCTTCGTTCGATGGTTGGTTGTTGCTTGTTAGATCATGTCATGATGAGACTTTAATATTTAAATAAATGGTGCAAAACTGATCTTTAATGAGTGTGTACGTATAAGAAGAGTTATCTCTGATGATAAGTAGTGTGCTTAGCTGATGTTTTTTGTTGTGTACTTACTTGCTGGGAGGATAAAAAAAGCCGATAGAAGTGATGAGATTAGATGTTTTTCTTCATTTATGATGTTTTTCCTCTAGATCAGAATAAGTCCTCCTTGAGCGTGCTTGTGTTTATTGTTAAAAACTTAAAGCACAGAACTAAGTTATGTTACCTGCTATTAATATGCTCAGAGTGATGATGTTTTCATTATCAGATATCCTCACAATGGAAAGAAATTGAGAAAGCTATGGGGAACAAATCAGTTGAAGATATCTTGCGTGAGCAGATTCAAAATAAAGACTATTACAACAGTGGCAACACTCCTCCACGTGGAGGTGGAAGAGGAGGAGGAGGGTCAGGCGGTGGGAATGGTGGATCTCAAGGCTCATCAGGAGAAGATAATGGTCTTCCTGGCTTTGCACATGAAACTCTACAAGTAGTTTTAGCAACCATAGGCTTCATCTTTCTGGTAATGACACGCCCACACAAGTTAATCTTTACCCTTTCTTTATCTTTGATCATTGTTTCTTTTTTTTTGTTTTCTAGTACATTTACCTCATCAACGGGAAAGAGTTGACCCGTCTTGCAAGAGATTACTATAGGTATCTTACTGGACGACCAAAGACTAATAGGCTGACCAGAGTTATGGAGAGTTGGAGTAGGTTATTGGAGCGTATGTGGCCAAGGGGAAAAGTGTATGACGAGTACTTGCTGGAGAAACCGATCATCAATACGCCTAGCTGGCATGAGAGCCCTGAGAAATACAGACGTGTTGTGAAGTCTTATGCTGATGCAAATCAAGATGATGAATAGCTTCTTTCTTCTTTTTTTTTTTTGCTGATTTAAGTAGTTGAATAGTTCTCTTAGACCATGAACCGTTTTCTGTGAGTTTCATCATAGTTATACAACAATCAGATTGAACAATTTGAAAGTCAAGAGTGGAAAAAAATGAAATAATTTCATCATTGTTATCTAACAATCAGCTTGGTAGTAAAATAACAAAGGCTCAGTACAAATTAGTTCTTATTCAAATATGATTTTCTAAAAATGATTCAAATTTTAATGTTATTACATTTGTAATTTAAAAAGAGATAATTAACACTAGATAGACGGTCCGCACGCCTATGCGGACTTTAATATAATATATACATTACATGAATAAAAAATAATATAAATGTATAAATATATTGTAACTTTATTTTTTTTGTACATAGATACTCTGTTTTTTAATATATTTTTCTATCTTACTCATTTCGTTTCTCTTTGTATTTTTTCACACATTTGTTTTGTTTCTTATGTATCTCTCTTTGCATTATTTTTGTATGTCTTTGTACATCTCTTTTGCTCTCCTTTTCTTTCTCTCTCTCTCTCTCTCTTAGTTAATCAAATAATTTCAAAATCTCTCAAACTTACATTTACTCTCTCACAATCATATATATTCATTCGCTTCCTCGTCCTTAATATGATCCTCAATATTTCACTTTAAAACTCTTTCTATCTCTCTTTGGTTACAAAATTTTCACCAGATTTTGTTAAATCTTCTAAACACTTTCACATAATATTAATAAATGATTTCAGAATCTATCTCACTTATATTCAGTCTCTCACTTATATTCATTTTCATCTTCATTATGATCATAATCGACTCTCTAATCCTTATCATCACAATATCTCCCTCTCTTTCCCCCTTTCTTACATATTTTTTTATTTAGAATTTAATATAAAATCACAATTGACTAACCAAATAAATTCATTATAAAATTCTCTCTCCAATCTTCACACTATCTTATCAAACATTAATTTCTTTGACCAAGATTTTCATTGAAAAAATAAATATCTTATTCTTATTTTTTTAATTACTTCATTACATACATATTTTAAGTAAATCTAAATAAATGTATTTCAAAAAAGTAAATTTGGTTAAATAATTATATAACATAAAATATCTTAATTATTAAATGATATGATGTCATTATTTTAGACATAGATTAATATAAACATGAGATTCAACAATTTTAATATATCAAAATAACATGTTTCTAGTTGTATAAATTTTGTTATAACTTTGTTATCATATATTTTAAAAGTTTATTACACAGCAAAAAATACTTATCATTATTTTAAAATAATTTATTTTAAATTTAATTTGCGTTATATTTTGCATTTTCAACATTAACAATTTTATAACTTATCATTTATATTTATCTTCCTTGCTCATTTTTTCGTTATGTTGTATAAACACCTAAAAATAATTAGTTTACAATTATATTGATACGTAAGAAATATTTTGGTATACAAATAAAAAATTATGTATGTACAAATACAAAATAACGAAGAATACAACAAAAGGTTTTATTATTATTCATTCATGTTTTTATTTATGTCTCTTTTTTTTATTAAAAATAAACATGCCAATTTTATCATACTTAAAGCTATATGAATTATACGAATAGAATATTAACTCTAATCATGTATTAATATAATGTTTTGATTTTTTGTAATTTTATATTATAATAAAAATTTTCATTTATTCATATTTTTTTTTTAAAATGACATACCATATAATTTTCTCTTTTAAATATAAAAATACTTAAATAATTTTTGAAAGTAATAACTCAATTATACTATCGACATTTATCTCTGGAAAATGATAGATTTTTAAATTTTTTTTACATTTGACAGTTTTGCATTCATTGAACATATTTTAAGAATACATATATATAGTGAGTTAGTATAAAAATATTATTAGTTTTCTGTAATGTATGATTTTTTATCCATTATTAATAGAAAAAAATTTAAAATCGTTTATATACTTATTTCTATAATATAATATGTATTTATATGTATATTCTAAGTTTTTATAATGGAATATGTGATATTTAATTGTTTCTATAAACAAATTCTATTAATTATATGTATTCAAGATGGTTAATTGTTTGTTTGGTAATATATATTAGATTAGGTAATTTTACGATTAGTTTCATTTTTAAAAAATTAATTAAATAAATAAAAATTCAAATTCCAACAACCAATCAAATTAAAAGAATTAATTCTATATTGCACCTATGAATGACACTTAAGCAAAATTCATTAAAGTGACTTCTCTTTTAATATATAGGGGGATTTAATGCTATTAGAAACGATCTATATTATATTGAAGAAGTGATTTTGCTTATTTTGTTTATATGTCATGTTTTCCATGATTTTAAGTTATTTTATTTATTTGTCATGTTATTTTGCTTATTTTTTCATTTTATTTTGCTTATTTTTTTCATGTTTTTATTATTTTTTAGAAGTTTATTATCAGTTTTCATTATTTAGGTTTAGTTATTTTGAACTGCTTTTTCAACAGCTTTAGTGATTATTTAATAACAAATTTCATTATATTCAAGATAATTATTAACAAGTGTCATCGACATTAGCAATAACTAAAGCTATATTCATCTTATGTTTACTTTAGTGATATTAAATCATATATCATTTTTCTTTATTTTTAAAAGGAAATTTTCTTCTTTTTTATATCATGGAAGAGTTATATGGTTTTATGGTTTCATTAAATCATCTTAATAGTCAAAAATATGAGTCTATAAATACAATATTTTGTTGTTATAGTAAAAAAGTTCAGTTTTTAGTAGATATATATAATTATTACTTTTAGTTTGTAAGGTTTTAGTTAAATAGATGTATGCTTTTAATTATTGTATATTTTATTAATAAATGTCGATATAACCTCTGATGAAGAAGAAATTCATATAAAATGCAATTAAACTTGACTTTATAGGAATCATAAAAAAAAAAGGTGTTCAATCGTCTATATTATTATTTGACGAAGATGGGTTTGGTTTCATAAGGTTCACTGATAACTAGTAATTATAGTTTTATTTATAGATTTATCTTTTATGTTATTTAAAGTATTGATAATACTTCATTTGATTATTATGGATTCATGATGATGAATTTTTTTATGTGTACAGTCAGGTGATAGAATAAATAAAAATATTTGCAAGTACCAAGCCATTATCTAAGTTTCATTGTAATAAAAAAGCAAATTTTATCTTATGATTAATTTAATATTCGCAACTACCTTAATAATTTAGATTGAAAATAAAAATATATGTTAACATTAGAATTGATTTGATATATATTAGTATGCCATCATCTAGTTTAAATAGTAAAGTTTAAGAAATGTGTATATTTTAATAGGTTCTGATGGAGTTTATAAGTAAAAATAACAAAATTTGAATTTCATGGCTTTATACAGGATTTTTATTTATTTTTAATTAAATCACAATAATTTTCATAATTTACCTAAACTAATTATAAAATAGTAAAAATTAAATTATTTCAAAATCTTTATCAAATAGCTACACGCTTTTATTCAAGCCCAATAAAAGCCCATTCAAAATTATACGTAATTCGTAAGTCACGTGCCCCTATCACGTGATCTTCTTCTTCTATTTTATTTACAACATAGAGACGATTAGGGTTTTTTGTTAGGGTCTTTGACTAGAGATTTGGAGATGGCGCTTAGAGGTGTGTGGCAGCTACAGAAGCTCGTAGTGAGTTACTGTAATTGGGGAGGAAGCAGCAGAGGCATAAGGTAAACCCATTTAATTGATTGATATTAAATTTTGAATCCCAATTAATCGATCAAATAATCAATCAATATTCTCTGATTGATATAAAAACAGAGCCTTTATGGAATCAGAGTTGCCTTCGCTGATAGAGAAGAATCCACAGCTCGAAGTGGTGACGGAGCTTTCAAGGGGACAACATCCTTACCTCAAGGGCATTTACAGTAATGAAAATAAAAATCAAATCTTTTTTTTTTAATTTTTTGTTACCATTTAAATGGGTCTTGTAAAGTAGCAAACTTTGTGTGTATTAGCAAATAAAAATCAAATATTTCTCTTTTTTTTTTAATTCTTGTTAGCGTTTAAATGGGTCTTGAAAAGTAGGAAATTTTGTGTGTATTAGCAAATAAAAATCAAATATTTCTCTTTTTTTTTTAATTCTTGTTAGCATTTAAAAGGGTCTTGAAAAGTAGCAAACTTTGTGTGTATTAGCAAATAAAAATCAAATATTTCTCTTTTTTTTTTTGTTCTTGTTAACATTTAGACAAGGGATCTTGAAAAGTAGTGAACTTTGTGTGTTATAGGGAATAGAAATGAAAGAGTGGTGTGTGTGAAGAACATGGATCCTGAACAAGTGCTTTTGAATGCAACGAGGCTTAGGAACTCTCTTGGAAGAAAAGTTGTGAAGCTTAGGACAAGGCATGTGACCAAACACCCTAGTGTTCAAGGCACTTGGACTACCGCTGTCAAATTCTGACAAACTTTTGCCCTCTTGTGTTTCTTGTAGCTCTGTGGCTCGATTGTTGCAAGTTCTATATAGATTGTTTATCTATATTTGCAAACCCCAAGTTATGTTGTTTCTACTACTGTCACTTAATCTTGTCTTCTCTTTCAGTTGAGTTGATAATAAGGTTTATTGGTTAAAATTCATTTTGCTGATCAATTCTTTTACTTCATACTTGTTAATTGTGACAGAACTTTAAAAAGTTTCATTTCTTTGCAATTCGTCAGGAGTATGATAAAACAGGAAAATACCCTGTGAGCACATCCATCCTGCGACATATACATGTTAAAAAAGACGAGGAAAATTGTTGGCAGAAGAGCTTTGAACTTAGGATTGAAGAATTTTGAAGAAGCTGTTTAGA